ATCAGACGTCTGGGCCTTTGGCATGACTGTTTATGTATGTATGCGTCATTCTTAGTTTGGACATCACCCGTGACTGCTGACAAATGGATCTGATAGGAAACCCTTACGAAGAATTTACCCTATGCAGACCTGAAGAATGACGCACTTGTTCTGCGTGCGATTTTGGAAGGCAGATTGCCGCCAGTGCCCGCAGACTTCGATTCCTGGAGACCAAACCTTCAAACGGTTTGGAAAATATGTCAGAAATGCTGGATATTGCCTGAAAAGGATTGTATTACTGTGGAACAAGTTGTGATTCATCTTGCTGGGGTGGGTGACGGCTGGGCAGAGACGTGTAATGATACAGCCTTACTCAGCCTAATTAATTTATACTCTACACCAGAGCCAACTTTGTATGTTATTAATTTGCTATTTGCTAAGAACTGCTCTAATGACTCATCTCATTTCTAGAGAGCTGCCATTTCAGTATGCACCTGTCACCTATAGTTGCCGTGGTCCGGTTCTGGACCGGTCCACCCCTCCTTTACCTGGACTGTAACCCGGACCTCTTCATACGGTCCGGGTAAAGGAGGGACCTGGACCCGAACCTTTGTGGACTGCTGTTGGACCGGACCTGAGGTCCAGTCCAGGTCTGGTCCAGGTATGACCTGGACCAGTAGAACTTATACTTACAGTCGACTCAAGAGTGTGTCCCTAATGTGAGTAGAGGAGTTCAAGCATCCTACAACAAATAGTGTCTATTCTTTTTTTTGTAATATGTAGCTAGTGCTTTATACTAGACTATTTACAAAGAGAATAATAATGAGTTTTAAGAATTTCAATTGCTTCAAAAGTTTCTGGAAGAAGTCAGTTACACTGCTTTGTATCTACAAGCCCTGCACCTGAAAACACACACTCACAAGGTACAGAGGAGCCTTGTATAGCAAGGTAATCCTGAGCTATGTGAGCAAGAATTGGATAACAAATACTATTCTCCTAAAAAAAGAGTGTTAGTACAAGGAATGAATAATTGTAGTTCAACCCAGTCCAAATATGTAAATTGTAATGCTACAGTACATTTTCCCACAGCTTCATAGCTAATTCTACTGTATTTTAATACTTATTTCTACTACTTTATGTATGTATCAAGTAAGGAGTGAACACCCTGAATTATATGTCAACTCAACTGGGTGTTCTTGTATTAAAATAGAAACATGGGTCCTGGGTCCAGTCCTCAGTCCTTAAGGTCCAGTCTGGTCCAGGAAAATACAGCATTTCCTGGACCCGGAACTGAACCTGTTCTGGACCTGATTGGACCGGACCTATTGTGACCCGGACCTCAGGTTCGGTCCTAGGGTTGACCCGGGTCCATTAGGTCCAGGACCGAACATCAACAACTATACCAGTGTCACCTCGAATCAACAGCACCATGACGCTACCAGCCTTATTTCTTATAACCCAGAATTCAGTGTATCCTTTCCTAGTCAAGGTACTTACCTCTGACAACTCATTGTGGTTTGATCCAACTTATACCCACTTAACAGTAAATAAACTGGCAGGCCACATTGAGCTACAGTCGAGAATCCACTCGGTACTAAGTGGTGTTGGGTGCACTCAATTGGATTTTTCCTCACATTCCTTCAAACCCTCAATACAATCCCAACCTGGCAAACTCAATGCGTTTAATGCAATTGACAAAGACAGACTCAGACAATCTGCAATATGGCCACAACGAACAGAAATCAAGCTGATTTGCACAGCGCTTGGACAATTTGCAGATACTTGGACAATAAAATTCAGAAGGCTTCGGAATATCTCCGTTGGAGATGTGCTTATAGAGGCGTACAAACAACTTCGAACCCCAGTGACAACAGAGGAATGGAAAAAACTGCCAGATTCCGCAGCATATGAAGCAGCCAAACAGCATGCTCGTCGATGTCGGAGTGTTGGAAATTGGAGTGTGCCACATTTGACTCCTTCTGCGTATGAAGAGGAGAAACGCGGAAAGGCACTGAGTGTAATGCGAGTTGATATTCTTGGGAATAAGCATTGGTTTGCGGGGCTCAGACAGGCAGAACTCCACGATCCAGATAGCTTTGAATTGTTGGTCAAAGCAGCATAACCTCTGGTTCATTTATTATTAATCCATTTTGTCGTATTTAATCGATCGGATGTTGTAATATATTCGTATTATTGAAGTGTACGAGGTTGCTGGCCAGTATATTCACTCGTGGCAATGCACTGACATCCGTCACGTATTTTCCCCCAAGTCTTCTAGAGTTGTTCGGCGAAGGAGAAATGTGGACCGACCGGGCGTACCGGACATCCGAGTATCCGCTGATCGTTGTCCAATGTCCACGCGACGTGCCACGCGACCAAACCCAGAGCCATCGCATCCTCGCACGATCCAGCGTTTCTTCACACGCTCCCAAACCCAATAAACGTCTCATTTAAGATATCAGGGATGGCGCAAGCCATTCGCCTGCTTTCTCTTCCTTATCTACTCCGACAACTATCCTTCTCTCCGTCCGCATCCATAGAAATAGGAGAGCCATGATTGGAAGCTCGACAGTGGCATTGTTGCTGTTGTCTACTCCAGTATTATATGCGATCCAGCTATGGATCGACTTTCGGAGGGCAGTCAAGTCCGTTGGGTACGTGGTGATTCTCAATTCTCCAGACGTTTGCATTTATATGTGATGATAGTAACCTACCTGGTTTCCGACACTTGCTCGCTCAGTCGAGTATATTAGCCAATGTCATTCCGTTTTTTGTTCCTGGGATTGCCACCGGGAGACTTCAGGCGTGGAAGGCGAAGTATAGAGGTATGCTCGGACGCTGCATATATATTTCAGTTGTTTTGCCTGTCAGATTCTGAGACGTGTTTCCGGTTCAAGATTTCGAATACTTTGGAGCAGATATCTTCACAAACGTAAATGATGAAACTATACGTTGATTGCATGGGTCTATTAACTTGACACACTGTATGGTAATTAGGTTTCGATATGGCCTCGAACAAAGATAATGTTTAATGTTGCCGATGCTGCAGCTATCAAGGTATGTCACAAATCGCATATTTGCACTTTTCTGCATAAACTTATGCCTTTCGATATGAAGGAAATAACGGCACATCGTGCGCGCTGGATTAAACCCATTGAGCAGTATGCTCTCGTTCTGCAATTTGGAGGAAATATTGTTGCCACCGAAGGCAAGTTGTTTATCACATGCCTTAATTTACCTTTCCTTCTTTCTAATTTGGATTCCTTCTTGAAGGTGATGAATGGAAGAAGCATAGGAAAATTGCTAATCCTGCTTTTTCGGAGGTGTGTACATTTCTCGTGCCTTATATTTGAAATGATAGAATAATTCTTACAAAATAAAGCCTAATAATCGACTCGTTTGGGACGAAGCTGTCCGGATAACTATGGATATGATTGATAATGTGTGGATGAATAAAGAGATAATTGAGATGGACCACGCTGTGGATATCACTTTATCGGTATGTCTCTGTCTTTAGGACCCTCAGAATACCACTGAATACCTGTTGTCATAGATTGCACTACTTATCATTGGTTCTGCCGGTGCGCATCTCCATTCTTTAATGAGGCTAAAGCGCTAAATATTGTTTCAGGATTTGGACGCATGATTTCATTCGCGGAAGACTTAAAAGTTCCTCCAGGATACCATATGTCTTTCAAGGACGCCTTGCACATCGTTTCGCAAGATATGATCATACCCACTGTCCTTCCGGCATGGATGCTGAACCTCACGAAGAGGCTGCGCAATGTGCGGACCGCGGTACAAGATTTGAGTGTCTGTATTCTAGTTTCTTATTATTGATACACGCTTATCTGACGAGGAATGATATATAGAAATACATGCAAGAGATGATTGATGAGAGACGCTCGGCGGAGAAGAAGCCGGAAAGACATGACTTGTTTAGTAGTTTACTCGATGCAAATATGGATGAGGCCGAGGGACAAGGATCCCGTCTAGCAGATAGCGAGCTTATCGGTGCGAGCGATACATGTCATTATTTTTGAACATGCCAGTGACCTGTGTTCATTTATAGGAAACATCTTCATCTTCCTTCTTGCCGGACATGAGGTATTCGACTAGCTCTAAGCTGTTTGCTCGATACTGATGCTAATCGAAAAATTTCAGACCACCGCGCATACGTTGTGCTTCACGCTCGGACTACTTGCGCTACATCCGGATCAACAAGAGATCCTCTATCAGCATATCATGTCGGTCTTGCCTGGGGAGCGGCTTCCTGTATGTATTTTCTCGCATTGTCTTCCATTCGTTAATAAAAAGGTATTGTCATAGGAATACGAAGATATGGGCGCGTTGTCTTATGTTACTGCGTCAGTTGCACGGTTTATTTCTCTTGAGGTGTTAGCCAACTGATTTAACTCTGTCACACAGTGTATTCCATGAAACTCTGCGTCTTTTCCCGCCTGTCCGTCTCGTGTCTCACCGTTCGCAAGTAGTTCCGTACTGACCTTTTAATGTCTAGGTTGCAACAATTCCGAAGAAGAGTGCGGAAGATACAACGCTTGTGACTACCAACCGTGCAGGCGAGAAGATTGTTGTGCCTGTTCCGAAAGGTGCGGGTATAACGCTGCATACGCCAGGATTACACTATAATCGTCAGTGCTTCCATAGTCTGCGTTGAGCTCGACTCTGATTATGTTTTAGCTAAATACTGGAAAGATCCGTCTGAATTCAGACCTCAGCGATTCATGGAGGATTGGCCGCGTGACGCGTTCCTGCCGTTCAGTGGAGGTGCACGTTCTTGCATTGGTCGTCGGTCCGTGTTCTGTTCTTCTGTCTTTCCATCTCCTATATTGTTTACCCGACATTATGTATTAAATAAACTTACGTCTGTCTTACAGATTCTCGGAAACCGAAGCAACCGCCATCCTCGCCGTCCTTCTTGCGCGTTACCGAGTGGAAGTTAAAGACGAGCCGCGATTTGCACACGAGACGTTTGAACAGCGGAAAGCGCGGGTTTTGGGAGCCAAAGCTGGGATCACGTTAACGTGAGTCGCCTTAACTAGGGTTATTTGAATTCTGTGCACAAATGCTGACCGTATTTGATTTGTTAGACCTGTCCGTGTACCACTTGTTTTCAAGCGCAGATGAGGTTATGAACTTCCGTTGTTACTCGAGAATCTTTTTGTTTATTGTACGTGCAATACACTTGACGATTATTATTTTAGAGCTTTTACGGATATGAGGTGTTGCAATTTGCAGTTCATAAGTGTCCACGAATGTCTTGAAACGCAATACGTTGGTCCACACTGGTAAACTAGCGTAATTTCTATTTACCGTCGTTCATCCCTTTAGGAATCCTCTTCTCATATTCAAGAGGGCTTATCGGTGAAAGCATCGATGACTCTCGCTAGAGCTACTTGTAACGCTAGATTCTAACCAGCTAGTTTTAAGAGGTTTAAAAGTCAAGAGAAAGTTTATTTGCTTCTTAAATCTTGCGGTTCTAGTATCCCGAACGGAGGAAGTGGCTGTGCCGGCGTGCGCGTTAGGGCATGTGATTGGCTGGTCAAGCTTTTGGTACCTTACACATTATTTGTCCCTGCGTAGTCTCATATGGAACAGCTAGGAGATAATCGTCGTAGTCTTGATTTCGGACTGATACCTTCTTTTGCTTCTTCGTTCAAATAGGCAAGACACTGGAGAGTATCGTGATTGGAAATTCGACAGTCGCTTTACTGCTGCTCTCCAGTGTCTCCACCCTGCTGATATACGCTGCCCAGCTATGGATTGACTTCCGAAGAGCAGTCAAGGCCGATTCGTATGTCATATACATTTCATTTGAATTTGCAAGTTTGTTTAATGATGTTACACGCGATAACAGTGACCTTCCTGGATATCGACACTTGCTTTCTGCTGCGAGTATTTTCGCAAATGCCATCCCGTTCTTCGTACCCGGGATTGCTGTCGGGCAGCTTCAGGCATGGAGAGCAAAGTATAGACGTGCTTATTCTGCCATATTTTTCTATTATTTCTTCACGGTTCTGATAAGTGTCTGTACCTTAAGACTATGAAGACTTCGGAGCCGATATTTATTCTGTGGTACGTTTCACGAGTATAGCATTGCACATTACGCGCTTTTAGACGAGAAACATGGCTTGTAGGTCTCGATTTGGCCTCGAGCGCGGGTAGTGTTGAATCTCGCCAATGCTGCAGCCACCAAAGTGGGCTCTACTCCCCATCCATTTCGTTTCAGCATAAGATGACCTGTATCGGATTTGAAGGAAATAACGACGAACAGAGTGTGCTATGTCAAGCCCACTGAAAACTATGGTTTGGTTCTGCAGTTTGGGAGAAACATAGTTGCCACGGAAGGCAAGTGGATTATCATATGCATTTATGTCATTCTCTCTAACCCTGATTGCCTTTCTTGAAGGTGACGAATGGAAGAAACATAGGAAGATTGTTAACCCGCTTTTTCGGAGGTGGGTACTAGAACCAATGCTTCTTGTGGCATTTGACTTGAACTTACTCTAATTTTACAAAATAAATAAAGCCGAACAATAGGCTGGTTTGGGATGAAGCTGTACGAATAAGTATGGATATGATTGACAGTGTCTGGTCGAATAAAGATGTTGTTGAAGTTGACTATGTCGAAGATCTTACACTATCAGTTATGTATTCGCCTTAAAGTTGCTCGTCGAGCTACTGAACTCATTGTTAACTCATCTTGCTGTAGATTGCACTGCTTATTATTGGCTCAGTGGGTAGGCATCATCTTAGTGAGATCATCACGGCGATTGCTAAGAATTAGTTTAGTGTTGCACGTTGTCTTGCAGGATATGATCATATACATATTATTCCCAGAGTGAGTTTTGGGCTTGACACAGAGATTTCGAAAGATACGCACTGCAGTAAAGGAGCTTAAGGTTGGCCTAGTTCCTTTTTGACCGATATGATTCTCACCTGATGGGTGTATGTCATATAGAATTACATGCAGGAGATGATTGACGAAAGACGCGCTGCGGAGAAGAAGCCTGAGAGATATGATTTGTTTAGTAGTTTACTTGATGCGAACATGGAGGAGACAGAAGGGATTGGGACACGGTTGAAGGATAGTGAACTTATCGGTATGGAATTACATCCTTTTCCCCCCCGGTAATTTATTTTGAAAGGCCTCGTAATTTGCGTTTGTGCACATAGGAAATATCTTCATCTTCCTATTTGCAGGACATGAGGCATCTGTCTTCAAGTTAATGCCTATGCTACGTGAAATTGCTTAGACTACTGTACATACACTGTGCTTCACTCTTAGGCTACTCACATTGTACCCAGACCAACAGGAGGTCCTCTACCAACACATCTTGTTGGTTTTACCAGGAAAACGTCTACCAGTGCGTTTTTGCTCCCTATCCTGCATAAATTGCTTACTGATTAAGGGCATTATTCTAGACGTATGATAATATGAATGCATTGTCTTATGTCACTGTGTATGCTAATTGATTCTGAGGTAGCATAGTGCCTGAGCCGATTCTCTGTTGATAGTGTATTCTTGGAAACGTTACACCTCTTCCCACCAGTTTGTTTTCGTATTGTAGTCACTCGTAACTAATACCTTATTAACATCCCCATCATCAGATCCCGACAATTGCTAAGAGGTGTACAGAAGATACGATGCTTGTGACAACCAAACAGTCGGGCAAACAACTGGTCGTGCCTGTCCTGAAAGGATCACAGATAGATTTGCAAGCAGTCAGAGTGTATTATAATTGTAAGTCTCTTTGTGCATTTCCTTGAATGAAACTATGATACACAGATGCTCTTGCAGTGAAGTATTGGAAGGACCCATATGAATTTAGACCTTAGTAATTTATAAAAGACTGGTTTTGTAATACATTCCTTCTGTTTAACACAGGTACTGTCAGCGACAGTGTAGAGGGGACCCGAAGGCTCAGCAAGGGGACCCAGGCTACAACTATCCTACACAACAGAAATACGGAACGTGAGCACCAGAACGTAGTTGGAACTTGCAGAACAGGCAGAGAGAGAGAGTGAGACAAGAGTAGGGTATATAGAGTGAGCCTAAGAGTACAGGACTATCTGGAGTAGATGAGATCAAGACTACAGGACCAGTCTGATCTTGTACACCTATATATACTAAACTACACAAGAGCACTCAGGGAGCATGAGCCACTAAGAATGATGAGCCATGAAGAATGAAAGAAAGGAATGTCAAAGATAAAGGTACAAAGAATGAAGGGATGGATAAAGGGTAAGAGACCATAGAATGATACAAAGAATGAAGGGGTGGTCAAAGGAATGGAATGATGAAGTAAGGAAGGGTAGTAGCAAGAGTCAGCACACATATAGTTCATAGACAGCACCCCTGAGGGACAGAAGTCCCAAGTTCTGGTACAGAAGGGTACAGAACCCTCAGAACTGAAGGTGCAAGAGTAGAGAACCATAACATCACCCCCCCTCTAAAACCAATTGTCCTGATTAGTAAGTATTGGGCTTGGTTAGCAGCTCAGGCATAGGTTGGAACAGTAGGGTTTGGAAATCTGTGAGGCAGAGTTGACACAGAGCACCCAGATGAAGTTGATAGAAGTCTCAGATTGCCTTAACAGTATGGGTGAGATTCTCAGCAGGTTCCCAAGTGTGTTCTTCAACTGAGTATCCCTTCCAGTGGATAAGGAACTTGAGCTTTCTATGCACCAGCTTGGCATCTGCTACATACTCTACTTTGTATTCTGGTTCAGAACTAATGAGTTCTGGTAGAGGCAGTAGGGGTCTTTGTTACAAAGGAAAACCTAGATTATAGTATTGAGACAGTAGAACCTTGTTAAACACTGGGTGTATGTGCTTCCATGTTGCCAGAAGTTGGAGTTTGTAGGCAGAGGCACTGACCTTCTTTTCAATAACAAAGGGTCCAAAGTGCTTGTTGTCCAACTTCTTCATTAGGTGATCTGTGGTCAGGTTAGTGGCTTCCAGCATAACTTTGTCACCAGGCTGGTAATCCTTGGCTGCAGACCTCTTCTAATCATAGTTCTGCTTTATGACCTACACTACCTTTTCCAAAAGAGCTTGTGTGTCCTCCCTGGTTCTGTGCATCCATTCTACAAAGTCTGTTACAGATTCAGAACTACTGTTCTGGTTTAGAACTGTCCCCTAGTACAGATGTCTCTCATGATTGAGGAAGAACAGGGACTGTCCTGTTGTAGAGTGTTGCTAGTTATTGTGTACAAATTCTGTTAGAGCTAGCCATTCAGACTAATCTGATTACTGATAATTGATGAACATTCAGAGGTAGAGCTTGATCTCCTGATTGACTTGCTCAGTTTGACTGTCAGTCTGTGAGTGATAGGTAGTAGAAGGGTTCCCTTGAATTCTGAGAAGCACATACAAGTCCTGTATGAATTTTGACTCAAATTACAGTCTACAATCATGAATGAGCTTCTGAGGGAGTCTGTACAACTAGAAGATGTGATCCTGATAAATGCACACTATACCTTTGGAAGTGAGTTCTGTTCAGGTTGGAACTGTGTGGACTTGCTTGGAGAATCAGTTGACAATCATACAGATAGTATTGTAACCCTAAGACTTGGGTAGCTCACTAATCAGGTCCACTGAGACTTCTTCCTAAGGGTGATCCAGGATTCAATACAGATGTAGAGGGGCCCAAACCCTTGTCTGGTAGGCCTTAGTCTGTTAGCATGTATTGTAACCAGTCATGTACTTCAGGATTTCCCTCTACATTCTGGGCCACTAGTAGTTCTGAGTGATAAGTTCCTGCATTTTGTGTTGTCCCAGATGTCCTACAGTCAGATTGTTGTAATGAGCTCAGACAATGTCCTCCTACAGTTTCCAATCCTTCAGAACATACAGTTGGCCTTCCTAGTAAACCTGTCCATCCTCATCCTCCTCCTAATCCCTAGCCTGCTTCTCTAGTTGCTTCACTACAACCTAGTCCTGTGTGTGTCTCAGAGCTCACTGTATACAGGTGACAAAGTCAACATCCTCAGATTCGAGTCAGATCTCTCAGATTGTCTCAGACATGAAACAGGAATTGTCTAGGAGAACAAGATTTTTGTTATCATTCTCTCCCCTTTCATGACCTACTTGTCTTGAGAGTAAATCAGTTTTTGTCATTTGTGTTCTGGGTTTGTAGGTCAGCACAAAGTCATAGTCCTACAGTTCTAACATCCAGTAGGCCTGGTGGTGGTTGAGCTTCTGAGACACCTGGAAGTACTAGAGATTAAGGTGATCACTCTAGATCTTAAACTTCTGTACTGTACCAAGGAGATATTGACACTACT